CCTCCTCCTGCTCCTCCTCCTCCTCCACCTCCTCCTGGGGCCGTCTCCAAGGGAGCCAGAACTTCTATCCCCTAGACTGGGCCGCTCTGCCGCCCGCTGCTTTCCACGAGTCCGATCTCCACGAGCGCAGCCACTCCTGGAGGCCGCCCAGACGGGGTCGGAGGAGGCGGGGTCGGAGGACCGCACCGCATCGCCGAGACATCGGCGATGCTTCGGCGATGCATCGGCGATACATCGGCGATGCACCAGCGATGCATCGCCGACATCGGCGATGCATTGGCGCCATCGGCGTGAAGCAAGTCGGACTCCACATCGAGACGCATCGGCGATACATCGCCGATGCGGCGCGATCCTCCGACCCCATCTACTCGGACCCCATCTGGGAGGCCTAGCAACTCGTGGCTCATGGGAAGGGGCCGCCTCTGCACCCGAAGACGTGGCTCGCACAGCGGCTGGGGCAGCGTGGCCTGGCTATGCTTAGGTCGGGCATGTCCCGCTACAGGCGGAGCTTGGACGAAGAATCCCACCAGCCCTCTGAGCGCAGGCCATCTACGGCGTTTCCTTTCCCAACCTCCTTCCTTTCCCAGCTCGGGAGGTTTACCTCCCCCCCCTCCATGCGTTTGGACGGGCTCCCCCGCGAGGGGGTAGAGGGTTCTTTTTGGCCCAAGATGGCTCCAAGAGGGCCTCGGAGAGCGCAAGATGGCGTCCAAGATGGCCGAAGATAGCGGCAGGTGGGTCAAAATAGCATCCGACACACGTCCAAGAGGCCTCAAGACGGCCCCAAGACGGTTTCAAGTGCCCTCCGAGGCCTCCAAGGACCCCCCCAAGAGACCAAAATCCTTCAACAACCTAAGGAAAAAGCAATGTTGTTTGCCTTCTCGCTGTTTCTCCTCCGATGGGCTCTTGGGGCCTCAAGATGGCCCCAAGACTGCCCAAGATAGTCCCACGAGGGGCCCAAGAGGGCCCCAAGTCGGCCCCAAGAGCGCCCAAGAGCGCTCCAAGAGCGGGCCAAGAGGGTCCCAAGACGGCAGTTTTGAGCCTCCGAGAGGGCGATGGGAATTGGACCCCCCCTATCTTGTCTAGCGAAAAGGTCCAAGACGGCTCCAAGAGGCCCCTGAGGCATCCCAACAGAGCCCCAAGAAGGCCCCCAGACCCCCCAAAAGAGCCTAAAGAGGGCCTCAAGACGCCCTAAAACAGCCCCAAGAAGCCCCAAGAAGGCCATAAGATGACATCAAGAGAGCCCCAAGAAAGAGCACCAGGAGGCCCCAAGAGGGGCCCAAGAGAATCCCAAGACAGCCCCAAGATGCCTCCAAATGTCGAAACACACACGAGTTTCAGATACAAAGCAGTGCAACATCCCTTACGAGTCATCGAAACACCCCTCACCCTTCATCGAAGCACCATCGCAGCTTGCACTGATGTCCATATTAAACTTCAATGCGGGAAGCTCTTTGTGATCCTTGTTTTCCCGAAGACGGCTGCGCGACTGCATGCGTCCTGCCGCCTCTGATTCACCCATTCCCCTGCTGATCGTTTCTGGATGGGCTGGTGGGGGTACTTTTTCGGTCGCGTCAGCGAGCGAAGGCGCAGGCGGAGTCAGAAGCTGTCCGGGGCGCGGAAACAGGCCTAATTAGCCACTAGGCGCACAGCAGGCCGGCCGGGCCAGCTCACAAAGCAGCTGCTGAGCCGCGCGGGGAGGCTGACAGGCTGAGGGCACCCAGGGAAGCTCGGGCAACGTGCAGTCTGACAAAATGCCAGAAAATTCTATGTACGCCCTGCGGCGTGAACCACTCAGGAGGACGTAGGCGTAGATGCCTACACGCCTCACACGCCTGGAATTCGCACAGGCGAGGTGAACGATGAACGAGTCGCCAGCGGGGTGCCAAGTCCAGGTCCGCACCAACGGTGTATGCAAGCCAGGTGGGCTAAGCTGCCGAGGTGACGTCGAAGACCTGCCAAAAAGGCTGGGACGGGTCCAGGGGAAGCGCAGCGTCTGACGGACGGCTGAACCACTCCGAAGCGACCACGGGGCTCCCAAGGCCCACCATCCCGAGCACGTGGGGCGCCGGCCCTGTGGCGAACCCTGAGGGCCTGGCCCCAGTCACCCGCTGTCAAAGCGTGGTGAGCGTCGCACTGAATGTGACAGGCCAGGCTGGCGGGGATGAACATCGCCAGCGTGGCAGAAGAATCCAGGGAGGAGCTGCACAGAGGACGGTCACCCCCGCGATCCAAGGGCACAAAAGCTCAACAGATCGTCCCCAGACTGCTTCTTGACTATCCGTGAATCCTCCTCCTGTAGAGGAACACGCCCGACCTGAGGCTATGGATCTCCTGGTCGCCCGCCTTCGCGCCAGCGCGCCCCGCGCGCCAGCGCGCCGTCGCGCCCCCTCGCGCCCTCTCGGGGGAGGGCGGCTCTCCGGCCCCGGGCCGCGGCGCGCGGAGCGCGCCTCGCCTCGCGCCCCCGGGGGGGAGGGCCTGGGGCCCAGGCCCCCATCGGCCAATGGAAAGACCATGACGGGAAATGTGTCCCGATGTTCGGCCTCTGGAGGCCCTGCCCGGACCTCGGACCCGTCAACAAAAAAAACTCGGGATGGAAAACCGGTCCAGGGGAATGGGTCGAGACCTGTGAGCGTCGACGCCACGAAAAGATCATGACGTCGGGGGTCTGGGGATGCGGTCGGCCCGCATCAAGGGGTGCACACAAGCACACAAGACTCCAGGTCATACGTCGGCGTGCGTGCCTTTCGACTGGCGCGTTCCACTGCAGTCGGCCCGCAAGATGAGGAGGCGCGAGAAGGACGCAAGGGCCTCGGACGCCCCGTTCGAAGCTCTTTTCGAGCGGGGCGCGGCCAGCGAGAGTGGCCAAGGATGGGCCGAGGAGACAAGGGTGCAAGGGTACGCTTGGGAAGGTTGCTCATCCTTGCTATGCGGGTTGACGGTACCCACACATCACTGGTCCACACCCCCTTTTTGGACGCCTCGTAAGGAGGCGGGGAAAACCCTTCCGGGAGAACTCTTCTTGCCTCCACGCTCAAGCAGTGTCTCCCCAGGACGGCCAGCCGGCGCCCCCCTCACAGCCGGCATCCCAGGCGGCGACTCTGGGAGGCTGCCCGAGCGGCGAGGCTGTTAGGGTTCGATTCGGGCTTGGCTTGACCAGGAAAAATCAGATTAGCCCCTGTCAACAAACATGTGTTGTTCATCTTTCGCATGGCGCCCCACTTTTGCTCTGTCCGTCGGTTTGTGGATTGTGTAGTTGTTCCATCGGCGGTCGTCTGTCTGCTTGTCCCCTTCCTTGGAGAGCTCGAGGTTGGCCCTCTCGAGTGCTCTCCGGGGCTTGTCAAGACTTGTCTGTGAGCTCCCACCATGCCGAGTCCCTCTGGGAAGCCTGCGGAGAGGCGGGCTCTGGGCCCCGGCCCTCTCGGCCTGCCCCGACGCTGCCCACTGTTGTGCCCTCAGCCCGAACCCGATCGCGGAGGTCGAGCCTGGCCCCGGACCCAGGCAACCCGGACCCGAGCACCGAGCCCGGAAGCGCCGAGCCCCGAGCCAAAGCCCTCAGGCCCACAGCACTCGAAGCCCAAGCGCCGAGCTCGCGCCCGACCCCCGACACCGAACCCGGGTCCCTGAGCCGAAATCCCTAGAACCCGAGCCCTGAGCCCCGAGCTCTGGGTGCCCCCACTAAAATCGAACGATCGGCATCTCTTGCAGTCAATGTGCGCACGGGGTTCGTCAGCGGTTCCGCTGGTGCTGCCGAGGAGCATGTACTTGACCCGATTATGTGCTCGCCTGCTTATGCCGAAATCCTGGCGAGAACCAAACTTGACCCCAACGAACTGCTTGAAATAAAATGCGTTGATCACCAAACAATATCAGAGTAAAGCGTGAGCTGCGAATGTGCACGTCGCATCCACATTGCCCCTCCTGCAGCTTGACTCTGGATTGTTGCCGACTGTGCTTGTCTGGGTGGTGGTGATCATCGCTGTCATGCTTGTTGAGGCCGTACTTTTGCACAGCGGTTTACTTCAGGACATGGTGTATCATCCCATCGTCGATGCGAACGGCGATCTCCAGCATCGTAGAACATGCCTCAAGGTAGGGAACCATAAAGTCTCAACGACGGGAATCACATGTCAACGATTTCTTATTCGGCGTTTCGACATTGGGCGGAAAAGGGGGAGAGGGGGAGTCTGGCTCCAGACCTCTGCTTAACGCGCGACTGTCTGCCACAGTGCGTCCTATGGGGGAGACGCCACCTGCTTGAAACAGGCGCCAAAAACAGCCAAGATCTACTCCACGGGGGGGGGGCGGGGGGACCCTCGCCGATCGGCACAACAATGAATAAGAAAACGATCACTATTCAGCGCTCCGCTGCGAGGTTCGAAAAGAGAAACGATATGGAGAATCTGCTGAGCTCCCTGGCCGTCGCACCGCGGCGGCGCACAGCGCGCTCGCACCGGAGGAGCGAGGACAGAGGGAGGGAACGGCAAGGGCAAGATCGGTCCGCATTGCATCGGCAAATCTGCTAATCGGATCGAATCGGCACGTGCACCTCGCCTTCGCTCGGACGTCCATTCCCCGTGCCTTTGTCGGTCTCGCGCGCTTCTGTTCCTGCCAGATGATCCAGGATGCTCCTAGATGGTCCTCGCCGAGAAAAGGAAAAACAAGCCCGAGCGATGCCAAGGCGAGGGGAGGGGTAGCGGGAGAAGGAGAAGGAGGGGAACGGAAGGGCAGCAGAGCCTTCGGTGGCAACTCATGGGCGCCTCCCATGCCATCTTGCTGGCTCTTGCGAATCGACGCTAGTCGACGTTAATCGACGCTAAATCGAAGCTAGTCGACACTAGCCGACGCTGAACCGGCGCTATCTCATCGAATCCCAGACGCTAGTCGACGCTGATCGACGGCAGAGCTGGAATTCAGAGGGTACCACCAGGCCCCCATGATCTGCTGCCAAAGGAGCCCCCTGCGCGCAGCCGTGCGGCCGGAAAGCCAGGCGGGCGCGGGGCGTCCTGAGCGACAGCGGGGCCGCTCCCGCCGCGCGCGGGTCCGAGCCCACGAGCTTCTTGAAGGCGAGGGCCGTCATGCCTGCGGCCGCGAGAGCATCCAATATCAGTCAGCAAATCGGAAAACGAATACGATCGGGATATGCTTAGGCGGTTTTCCGACGATAAGAAAGGACTATATATATACATATATATATGTGTATCCAAACAAATATTCAAAAATACTCAAAAATCGTCCCCAGACTATGTTTTACTATTTTTGAATACTCCTCATGTAAAGGGGCGCGCCCGACTTCAGGATATGCGTCGAACCTAACCGCGTCCGCACGGAGCCAGACTCGAACCGGATGGGCTGCACCAGGATGCACGGCAGCGCCGTGCCAGCACCGGGCCAGATTGGATCGTCGGAGCATGGGAATCAAATCAAATCGGGATGGCTGGAATCGATATCGAGTCGGACCCGAAGTGGGCCCCGTGTGTCCATGCCCGCCCGCGCATCTCGCGGGCCTGGCGCTGTCGGGTCGAGCCCCCGAAGTGCCCCGGAGTCTCTGGCGTCGCAGGTGGCACGTGGAGCCAGATGCCCAACAAGGCATCATTAGCACGGAGACCTGCTCCCTCAGGCATGCAACTCCAGACGAAGCGCGCCCGATCAAGATTCCCAGATGCGAAACAGCAGCAAAAAGCAGCAAGCAAGAACACGCAGGAGCACAAGCGGGAGGACGATATGAGACGGGACAGGCGGAGGAAGAGAATGTGTAGGGGAAGGGGTAGAAAAGGGGAGGAGGGCGAGGAAGGGGAGGTGGAAGGAAGGGAGGGGGGGAATGGGTCGAATCGTAAACACCGGTTCGATGGTATATACACCGGTGGAATAGAGTTTTCCCGGTCAGACTGGTTTATTCCCCAGTCACTTGTTCCAAAACGTGAAAAATTCTGACTCGTCTCAGAGAGGCGTCGTTCAGGCGTCTTAAAGGCTTCGAAGAGGCCTCTTCTAAGAAGCCTTTAAGAAGCCTCTAAGAGGTTTCTTAGAGGCGTCTTAGAAGCCTCTACGAGGTTTCTAAGTGGCTTCAAAGAAGCCTCTACGAGGTTCTACGAGGCTTCTTAAAAACCACCTAGAGACTTCTAAGAGGCTTCTGAAAGGTTGTTCACAAACATAGAAAAAAACCCTTAGAAACTTCTAAAAGGCTTCCCAAAGGCCTCTGAAAGGTTTCTAAGAAGCCAGTTAGAAGCTTCTATGAAGCTTCTAAGAAGCATATCAGAGGCTTCCTGGAGGTTTTTAAGAAGTATCTAAGAAGCCGCTTCGAAATTGTTTCTTTTTCCCAACCCTCCTTGGTTGGGTATTCGTTTTGACTAGAGCACCGTGGTCGCGTCTTGCTCCTCCCGCCTCCCGCCTCCCGCCTCCCTCTTGTCTCCTCTCGCCGTCTGGGTTGAGGCACCGCGCAGATTTGAGCGAGACCTCTCCCTCCCTGGGTGGCTGCGATTTGTGAGGGCTGCTGGCGAGGCCAGCAGATCCAAAGTGGACCTTGCCATCTCTGGGGGGCTGCGATCTGTGAAACTGTCGCCACTTTCGAGGGCTGCTGGGGAGGCCACCAGAGAGGGCACTCACCGCGGATCCAAACAGGACCTCGCCATCCCTGGGGGGCTGCGACCTGTGAAACTGTCGCCACTTTCGAGGGGCTGCTGGGGAGGCCAGCAGAGAGGGTACTCACCGCGGATCCAAACAGGACCTCGCCATCCCTGGGGGGTTGCGATCTGCGAAACTATCGACACTTTCGAGGGCTGTTGGAGAGGCCAGCAGAGAGGGCACTCACCGCGGATCCAAACAGGACCTCGACATCCCTGGGAGGGCTGCGATCTGTGAAATTGTAACCTCTTTCGAGGGCCGCTGGGGAGGCCAGCAGAGAGGGCACTCACCGCGGATCCAAACAGTACCTCGCCATCCCTGGGAGGCTGCGATCTGTGAAACTATCGCCACGTTCGAGGGCTGCTGGGGAGGCCAGCAGAGAGAGCACTCACTGCGGATCCAAACAGGACCTCGCCATCCCTGGGGGGCTGCGATCTGTGAAACTCTCGCCACTTTCGAGGGCTGCTGGGGGGCCCAGCACAGTGACGCCACGGCGCTGGCGCCCAAGGATGCGGGGCGCCCTGGCGCGCACCTGGCGCGCTGGGCGCACCTGACGCACCTGGCGCGCCTGTCGCACCTGGCGCGCACCTGGCGCACCTGACGCACCTGGCGCCACTGGCGCGCCTGGCGCACCTGGCGCATCTGGCGCGCCCTGGCGCGCACCTGGCGCGCACCTGACGCACACCTGGCGCGATGGGCGCACCTGGCGCACCGGACGCGCTGGGCGCACCTGGCGCGCACCTGGCGCACCTAGGCGCACCTGGCGCACCTGGCGCGCGCCTGGCGCGCCTGGTGCAACTGGCGCACCTGGCGCACCTGGCGCGCATCTGGCGCACACCTGGCACACCTGGTGCATCTGGCGCACCTGGCGCACTTGGCGCGCTGGGCGCACCTGGCGCACCTGCCACACCTAGCGCAGACCTGGCGCACCTGGCGCGCCTGTCGCACCTGGCGCACCTGGCGCACCTGGCGCACCTGTCGCACCTGGCGCACATGGCGCACCTGGCTCACTTGGCGCGCCTGGCGCAACTGGCGCACCTGGCACACCTGGCGCATCTGGCGCACATGGAGCACCTGGCGCGCACCTGGCGCACACGTGGCGCACACCTGGCGCAACTGGCGCACCTGGTGCACCTGGCGCGCTGGGCGCACCTGACGCACCTGGCACACCTGGCGCACCTGGCGCACCTGGCGCGTCTGGCGAGCATGGCGCAACTGGCGCGCCTGGCGCACCTGCCGAGCCTGGCGCGCACCTGGCGCACACCTGGCGGACCTGGCGCAACTTGCGCAGCTGGCGCGCCTGGCGCACCTGACACACCTGGCGCACCTGGCGCACCTGGCGCGCCAGGCGCACCTGGCGCACACCTGGCGCACACCTGGCGCACCTGGCTCAGTTGGCGCGCCTGGCGCGCCTGGCGTGCCTGGCGCACCTGACACACCTGGCGCATCTGGCGCACCTGGCGCGCCTGGCGCGCCTGGCGCACCTGGCGCACGTGGCGCACCAGGCGCACCTGGCGCACCTGGCTCACTTGGCGCACCTGGCGCACCTGGCGCGCCTGGCGCGCTTGGCCCACCTTGCGCGCATGGGCTTCTACGAGGCGGACCTGAGCGGGACCTCGCCGTCCCTGGGGGGCTGCGATCTACGAAACGGTCGCCGCGTTCGAGGGCTGCTGGGGGGTCCTGCGGGGCGAAGCGCCGCGCGGACCTGAGCGGGACCTCGCCGTCCCTGGGGGCTGCGATCTGCGAAACTGTCGCCACTTTCGAGGGCTGCTGGTGCGTCCTGCGGGGTGAGGCACCGCGCGGACCTGAGCGGGACCTCGCCGTCCCTGGGGGGCTGCGGCCAGCGAAATTGCCGCCGCTTTCGAAGGCTGCTGGCGGGCCCTGCGGGGCGAGGCACCGCGCGGACCTGAGCGGGACCTCGCCGTCCCTGGGGGCTGCGATCTGCGAAATTGTCGCCACTTTCGAGTGCTGCTGGCGGGCCCTGCGGGGAGATGCACCGCGCGGACCTGAGCGGGGCCTCGCCGTCCCTGGGGGGGCTGCGACCTGCGAAAGTGCCGCCGCTTTCGAAGGCTGCCGGCGGGCCCAGCGGAGCGAGGCACCATGCAAATCTGAGCGGGACATCACAATCCCTGGGGGGCTGCGAGCCCCACGAATGCCGCTTGTAGACTTATATGCGCCCATGTCACGTCATCAGCTCCGCATAACGTCTCCCAAGCTACTCATGCCCCGCAGTGCGCAGGGGTTGGGCACGTCGCCAGGGCAATGTTTGTCAGAGGCCTCCCAGAAGCCTCTTGGAAGTCCTCGAGGCTTGAAAGGAACCGATAAGAAGCCTCTACGAGGCTTCTAAGAGGCCTCTTATAGGCTTCTAAAAAGACAGTAGCGGCATGTTGTACATGTAGGAAACCTCAAGAGGCCCCGGAGGCCTCTTAGAGGCCTCTTAGAGGCCTCTTAAAGGCCTCTAAGGGGCATCTGCAAGGCGTCTTAGAAGCCTCTAAGATGCCGGCGAGAGGCTTCTAATAAGCATATATGAGGTCTCTAGGAGGCCTCTAAAATGACGTTAGGATGACGAAATGTCTACCATACAAACGCCACATAATGGCATACATGTAACTACAGTTGCTGCTACCACGAGTACGACCTCGCAGTAGCACGACTACGACTACGACTACGACTACAAATACTACGACGACTACTACTACTACTACTACTACTACTACTACTACGACTACTACTACCACTACTACTACTACTACTACGACTACTACTACTACTACTACTACTACTACTACTACTACTACTACTACTACTAATACTATTACTACTACTACGACTGCTACGAATACTACGACTACGACTACGACTACGACTACTACTACTACTACTACTACTACTACTACTACTACTACTACTACTACTACTACTACTACTACACTACTACTACTACTACTACTACTACTACCACTACTACTACTACTACTACTACTACTAGTACTGCTACTACCAATGCTACTACTACTACTACTACTACTACTACCACTACGGCTACTGCGACTACTACTACCACTACTACTACTACTACTACTACTACTACTACTACTACTACTCCTACTAATAGTACTAATGTTACTACTTCGACTACTACTAATACCGCTATTACAACAACTACACTACTACTACTACTACTACTACTACTACTACTACTACTGCCACTACTACTACCACTACGACGACGACTACTACTACTACTACTACTACTACTACTACTACTACACTACTACTAACTACTACTACTACTACTACTGCACTACTACTGCTACTGCTACTGCCCCTGCTGCTGCTAATACTACCATTACTACTACTACTACTATCATTACCACCACCACTACTACTACTACTACTACTACTACTACTACTGCTGCGTTATAACTACCACCACCACCACCACTACTACTACTACTACT